TTTGTGTGTCCTTCTACGTCCCCCCCTTTTTTCCTACCTGTCTCCTCTTTATCCTTTAGGTTACAGCTCCAGTGTAACTCGGTGAAGTCTTCCCAGACTCCTCAGACCGAGGATCTAGATGATAGATGCCCACAGTGCTCTAGACTTCTCTTTCATAATGCTCCCGGCTTTGGAAGTTCTATTTTAATGTTCGTCTTTCCTTCAGGCTTTGAGTTCCAAATTGGGGAACTCTCATTCACTGCTTTACCCCCAAGTGCCTACTACCAAACACTGGGTAAATATTTGTTGACACAGTAGATGTGACTGCTTCGTGGAAGGGTAGGTTCTTAGGAAGGAGCTCTTAAAAGCTGTGCTCTTATAAACTTATGCGCATGAAAATTTATGCACTGGAGGGGGGGTCCCTCAGCTGGCCTGCTCACAGTCCGGGAGCCCTCAGGGGCAGGAGGTGACACCCCCATCACACCTCTGCTGCTGCCACTGCCAGCAGAGCAAGCCTTGGCTGGCCCTAGTTACCTGAACCTTGGGCATCTCTGGGCAGCTGGGAAGCTGCCATCCGAGGCTTGCCTGCACCTCGGGCCAGCCCTGGGCAGCTTGGGGGCTGAGGGTGGGTCCGGCCACACTGTGCGCCTGCCGTGATGGTCAATTTGTATATTCCATCTTTATTAGATAGGCTTATCAACTCTATTCCCTGTGCTGTACTTTACATACCTTTGAATATTCTGTAACTGCCAATTTGTACTTTTTAATCCCTTCACCTTTTTCATCCAGGCCCCCAACCTCCCTCCCCACTGGCAGCCACCAGCTAGCTCTCTGAGTCTATGAGTCTGTTTCAGTTTTGTTCATTTATTTTGTTCTTTAGATCCAACAAATAAGTGAAATCATATGTTTTTTGTCTTTCTCTGCAATCAAAATTTGAAGAGATCATTTTTTAAAAATACAGTGTTGTAAGTGCTTAGAAAAGAATGGGATGATCACCACGAATCGATGTGAATTTATAAGAATAAGACATGTCAAACAGACCTCATTTTTCTATTTTTTTTATTTGATTTTGTAATGACTGAATTAGAGAATGCTAAAGACATGTTGTATCTCGACTTCAGGAGACTTTGCCAACCACTTGCTAGACTATCCTCATGGAAAGACAACGACATGTTGGCATTTAGGCTGTCGTACAGCTGCTCCTGTGGCCCCACCTAAGCCAGCATGCCACAGGGTTTATCTAAATAGTAATCAGAGACCCAGGAGTGGACAGCTAGCTCTCTGAGTCTATGAGTCTGTTTCAGTTTTGTTCATTTATTTTGTTCTTTAGATCCAACAAATAAGTGAAATCATATGTTTTTTGTCTTTCTCTGCAATCAAAATTTGAAGAGATCATTTTTTAAAAATACAGTGTTGTAAGTGCTTAGAAAAGAATGGGATGATCACCACGAATCGATGTGAATTTATAAGAATAAGACATGTCAAACAGACCTCATTTTTCTATTTTTTTTTATTTGATTTTGTAATGACTGGATTAGAGAATGCTAAAGACATGTCGTATCTCGACTTCAGGAGACTTTGCCAATCACTTGCTAGACTATCCTCATGGAAAGACAATGACATGTTGGCATTTAGGCTGATGTACAGCTGCTCCTGTGGCCGCACCTAAGCCAGCATGCCACAGGGTTTATCTAAGTAGTAATCAGTGACCCTACACACCGATCCCTCAGAGAGACCCAGGAGTGGATATTAATTTGCATACATTCAGAAAGTGTTTTTTCTTTTCCTTTTTTTTCTTTTCCTTTTTTTTTTCTTTTCCTTTTTTTAAAAAATATTTTTATTGATTTCAGTGAGGAAGAGACGGAGAGATAGAAACATCAATGATGAGAGATAATCACTGATTGGCTGCCTCCTGCACGCACCCTACTGGAGATCAAGCCCACAGCGCAGACATGTGCCCTTGACCAGAATCGAACCCTGGGCCCTTCAGTCCACAGGCCTACGCTCTATCCACTGAGCCAAACCGGCTAGGGCTTTCAGGTTTTCTTTCATCATAGAAGTTCCCGGCTTCCTTAGCATCTATTTTTGGCAAAACAGGGACATTTGGGTTTGTGTGTATTCAGTTAAGGATCTGAATATTATCTCTAACTTCAGAAGGACTCTGATTTCCTGCTTATATTAGCACCCTCTCATATGGGTGAAAAGAATGAACTGATCCCGTAGTAACCTTTTGATTTATCTAACCTTGTCATAACTATGCTGTTCAAATAAAACAAAGAGCAGCCCGGCCAGCGTGACTCAGTGGTTGAATGTCGACCTATGAACCAGGAGGTGACAATTCGATTCCCTGTCAGGGCACATGCCCAGATTGCGGGCTCAATTCCCCGGTCGGGGCATGCAGGAGGCAGCCCATCAATGGTTCTCTCTCATCATTGATGTTTCTATTTCTCTCTCCCTCTCCCTTCCTCACCGAAATCAATAAAAATATATTTAAAACAAAGAGATGCGCTATCCCTGGGTGGCCACACGTGGGCGCCTTCATTTGAATGTAGAAATCCCGTCTGCTTCTATTTCTGGGGACCACAGGCACACACACACACACACACACACACGCAGGCAATTAGGAGGGAGAAACCCTCGTCCAAAACAGACCCAGCGGCTTTCCGATGGGAAACAAGCATTGTTACCTTTTTCTTTTCCTTTTTTTTCTTTTCCTTTTTTTTTTCTTTTCCTTTTTTTAAAAAATATTTTTATTGATTTCAGTGAGGAAGAGACGGAGAGATAGAAACATCAATGATGAGAGATAATCACTGATTGGCTGCCTCCTGCACGCACCCTACTGGAGATCAAGCCCACAGCGCAGACATGTGCCCTTGACCAGAATCGAACCCTGGGCCCTTCAGTCCACAGGCCTACGCTCTATCCACTGAGCCAAACCGGCTAGGGCTTTCAGGTTTTCTTTCATCATAGAAGTTCCCGGCTTCCTTAGCATCTATTTTTGGCAAAACAGGGACATTTGGGTTTGTGTGTATTCAGTTAAGGATCTGAATATTATCTCTAACTTCAGAAGGACTCTGATTTCCTGCTTATATTAGCACCCTCTCATATGGGTGAAAAGAATGAACTGATCCCGTAGTAACCTTTTGATTTATCTAACCTTGTCATAACTATGCTGTTCAAATAAAACAAAGAGCAGCCCGGCCAGCGTGACTCAGTGGTTGAATGTCGACCTATGAACCAGGAGGTGACAATTCGATTCCCTGTCAGGGCACATGCCCAGATTGCGGGCTCAATTCCCCGGTCGGGGCATGCAGGAGGCAGCCCATCAATGGTTCTCTCTCATCATTGATGTTTCTATTTCTCTCTCCCTCTCCCTTCCTCACCGAAATCAATAAAAATATATTTTAAAAATAAAACAAAGAGTACATTTTGATTAAGCAGTTATTTCTTATTCAGTAAGATAATCTATTTTGTCTTAGCATTGCTCTTTCCTAATTATCTGAGGTCTTTCCACTCAACAGTATGGGTTGCTTTGGGTTTCATTTTAAGTTCAGCTCTCACTAAAAATTCATTGCTATCAGACGTCTTCAGTCCTCCATTTTTCTACTTACTATTTCTTGGAGACCCCCCCTAATATTCCTCTTTTTATTTCCCCTTTCCCCCACAAATAAGAAAAGAATCTTCCGCTCTTGTTTTATTCACATTGTATCGCGGAGTCAAGTAAGTGGATAAAAGATGCCTGTTCAATTTAGTGAGAGAAGGCACTGAGGTAGGACCCATTTGCCCTTTTCAAAGGTCAGAAAGATGGTCAGTGTGGCGAGAACATATTTGAATAGAGAGGTGATAAGAATTTGGAAGTTGCCAGCATATAGATGGTATCTAAAGCCATGGGACCGAGTGAACTTACCTTGCTGTCTTCTCTGACCTATGCCATCTCCCTCCCCTACCTTGTAAAATCATGTATATATTTTAATTATAGTGCCTTTAATAATTTGGTGTTGGTTATCTTGCTTTTAGTAAAATATGGTAGTAACCTTTTGATTTATCTAACCTTGTCATAACTATGCTGTTCAAATAAAACAAAGAGCAGCCCGGCCAGCGTGACTCAGTGGTTGAATGTCGACCTATGAACCAGGAGGTGACAATTCGATTCCCTGTCAGGGCACATGCCCAGATTGCGGGCTCAATTCCCCGGTCGGGGCATGCAGGAGGCAGCCCATCAATGGTTCTCTCTCATCATTGATGTTTCTATTTCTCTCTCCCTCTCCCTTCCTCACCGAAATCAATAAAAATATATTTTAAAAATAAAACAAAGAGTACATTTTGATTAAGCAGTTATTTCTTATTCAGTAAGATAATCTATTTTGTCTTAGCATTGCTCTTTCCTAATTATCTTTCCACTGAACAGTATTGCTTTGGGTTTCATTTTAAGTTCAGCTCTCACTAAAAATTCATTGCTATCAGACGTCTTCAGTCCTCCATTTTTCTACTTACTATTTCTTGGAGACCCCCCCTAATATTCCTCTTTTTATTTCCCCTTTCCCCCACAAATAAGAAAAGAATCTTCCGCTCTTATTTTATTCACATTGTATCGCAGAGTCAAGTAAGTGGATAGAAGATGCCTGTTCAATTTAGTGAGAGAAGGCACTGAGGTAGGACCCGTTTGGCCTTTTCAAAGGTCAGAAACATGGTCAGTGTGGCGAGAACATATTTGAATAGAGAGGTGATAAGAATTTGGAAGTTGTCAGCATATAGATAGTATTTAAAGCCATGGGACCGAGTGAACTTACCTTGCTGTCTTCTCTGACCTATGCCATCTCCCTCCCCTACCTTGTAAAATCATGTATATATTTTAATTATAGTGCCTTTAATAATTTGGTGTTGGTTATCTTGCTTTTAGTAAAATATGCTGATTTCTCTTTATTGTTCATTTTCTGTTTATTGTTTAAGGGTATTTAGTCAATATTTAACTGGAGAGCTAACAGTTAACAAGTTTTGTCTTCTTTTGTTTTCTTTTGTAGGCAAAGTCATTAACAAAGATTTGCGACATTACCTGAGTCTTCAGTTTCAGAAAGGATCAATTGACCACAAACTGCAGCAAGTGATCAGAGATAATCTCTACTTGAGAACCATTCCGTGTAAGTAGGAAACGGAATAAAAGAAGCAGATCCTTATGTAACTGGCCGAACATCTAGAACGAATTAGAGTAGAGCATCTCATATGAAATTGTGAAGACTAAGGGGGGGCCCTGGAATGCAACAGAAGTTGGAGAAAGAGAAACATTTTTCGGGGAACTTTCAGGGGTTTTGTTTTTCAAAGTAGAAAAACCCAAAGATTCTATATTGGGACTTTTTGAAAAGTCAATCTGTGTACATGTTGCTAACTAGATTTTATTCTTATAAATCAATTTCTACAGCCTGAGCGGGAAAAAGACTTCTGTGCTCTCAGTGCCTCGCACAAGGAGACATTTTTGTATTGACTACGAGGACTTTGCTAATTTTAAAGTCTGCTCCATCCCCAAAGGGAAAAAAAGGGGAGAAAAACGCAATGCCTTCCTTTTGGCAACCAATTTGAATGTTGACATTGGTGTTTCTACTGTGTTTTTTAATATTTTATTGATTTTTTACAGAGAGGAAGAGAGAGAGGGATAGAGAGTTAGAAACATCGATGAGAGAGAAACATCGATCAGCCGCCTCCTGCACACCTCCCACTGGGGATGTGCCCGCAACCAAGGCACACGCCCCTGGCCGGAATCGAACCTGGGACCCTCCAGTCCGCAGGCCGATGCTCTATCCACTGAGCCAAACCAGTCAGGGCTCTACTCCAGTCTTAATGGTTTTCGTAGGACCTCGTTGTTGTTGTAACAGTGTTTTGGGTTTTTTGATAAAACACATAACAAGAAACCATGTATGCTTAAGTGTTAGCTGTAGTTAGCGCGGGTCTGGTGAAGAGTAAAAAGCAGTAAACAATACGGAGGCATAAAAGGACATTCAGCTCTGTTTTCCTTTTCACTGTCGTTAACTCCTTGTGGATGCCAGCTTTTGTAATGGCTCTGAAATTCTCAATTTCTTTTTCTTGTTATTAATCTCACACAATGCCCAGTCCATTACCAGGCTTTTCCAATGATGCTTCTTGAACATCTATCCCTCTGCACTGCCTTCGACCTCACTCTTTCTTGCTTGGACTTAAAAACAAATAGCCTTATGTAGTGGCAAAGAGCTAGGCAAGACGGAGTTCAAAATCCTGATTCTAGCATCTTCCTAGTTGCTTTACTTAATGCTCCTGAGCCTCAGAGAGAGAAACATCCATGTGAGAGAGACATCAATGTGAGAGTGAAACACCCATGGGCTGCCTCGTGCACACCCCCTACCGGGGATCGAGCCCACCACCGGGTATGTGCCATGACTGTGAATCGAACCGGCAACCTTTCGGTGCACAGGACAGTGCTCAACCAACTGAGCCACACTCGCCAGGCCTATTGCTGTTCCTTCAGTGATCATGGTTGTCTAAAGCTTGTTCTCCGCTAGACTTGCTAGGAAGGGCCCACTAGGCCACCGCAGCCGTTTGCTTGTGGTTTTTATACTTCAAGTTTGTTTGGACAGATATGCAATGTCGGGCTCATATTTTCTTTCCTGGTCTGTCTTAATTATGTTAGTCAATTGTCTTCTGCTGTGAAGCATTGTTCTGAAAAATTCTGAAATAATCTGATTGTCATTCCCTTGTAAGGAACTTGGTGCTTTGCCTACCACCGGGTGTCTCGGGGTAGCATTTTTAGGTTCCTAGCTCTAGAGCTCCGTCGTCCTTGTTAAAACAAGTTAATAAAATAAGTGCTTGTACCTTCTGCTGCCCTCTGCCACTTTTCCTTGGATCTTCTTTCTAATTTACTTCTGTCCTAGTTTTGCGCTTTCTCCTCAGTGTGAGGTTTTGCCCTAGAAAGGAGCTACAATGTATGTAGTTTTAATCCGTAGGGTCCACACAGCTGCAGCCTTTCAGATCCTCACAGGACCGCTTTGCTTGCTAATGGAGGTGGCCACAACCCCATCGGTCTCTGAATATTATTCCTTCACTAAACGATACCAGATCTTCGTGGAGAAAATTCTGGTTCCAGGTTTGGGGCAAGGGAAATACAAATGAGCTTGGAACATCTCATTGTACCAGAAAGTACATAAATGCTTAAAAAACGATGGGGACATATCAGAAGGACTTTTAAAAAAAGGCCACCTGGGGGTTCCCCACTGACAAAATCTGAGGCAATGGAGCAGCAAAACTAATGACAGAGAGAATGGACGCTGCAGTTGTCCGTCGCCGCAGTAGAGACAGAGCGTGACTGGGGGCCCTGAGACAGAAAGGAGACGCACGCGAAGGGGTCCTCTGATTTCCTCACCTGGGTGCATGCTGGGCCTCGCTCAGGGGGAGAGCTGGGAGAGCCGGGAGAGCCCAGCAGTCTGCCCAAGCGCCCCGGCCTGCTGCTGAGCCCTGAGCCAAGCATTGCCGCGTGAGACCCCCCAAGGCCAGGCCAGGGGCTCCGGGAGCTGCTTGCTTCCCCAGTCCCCGCGCTTGCCCCGGGGCGGGAGAGTTCTCACCAGCCTGCCCCAGAGACCTGTCAGGCTCCTGCCTTGCACCAGCTCCTGCAGGCCCGTGTTCGCAAAGGCAATTAAGCCAGCCCCAAAGGGTCCAGCGAACATGCTGGTGACTGAACTATTCGCAACAAGAAAGGAAGGAAGTTGCCAGTGTCTTTCCCCCCCATCCTGCCTGCAAAAAGACACTCTGCAATGTCAGCCCCCCACCAGCAGGCAGCTTCCCAGAGGCTGGTGGGGGTGGGGGTGGAGTGGGGGTGCAGCTGTGGGGCTTCCCAGCAGCGAATCAGCAACACCTTCCCAGGTGGCTTTGTGAGCTGCACGGTGCACCAGTGACTCCTCCGCTTCCTGACGCGTTCCGTGGGCACCCCAGCTGCTCCCCACATTTCAGTAATCTCCCCGCACATGGGTTTCCAGTGGGATCTGGCAAGTCCAGCCAGCATCCCAGCTGGTTCTCTAGTAATTTACTGGCACCTTCCACACACCACTCCCTGCTGCCACCTTAGGGAGCTGGCTTGTCAGTTTCATCCAGGGCCCAGCAGACATTTCCCTGCCGCCGCCTCCCGAGGATGAGGACGGGGAGCCACTCCTTCTCCAATGAGGTCTGGTGCCCAGGCTGGGAGTGCCCCTCTCTTCCAAGTTATTTTTTTTCTTTTCCTCCTTAAATATATTTTTATTAATTTCAAAGAGAGGGAGAGAGAGAAACATCAATGATGAGAGAGAATCATTGATCGGCTGCCTCCTGCACGCCTCCTCCTGGGGGTCAAACCCACAAGCCGGGCATGTGCCCTTGACCGGGAATGGAACTGTGACCTCCTGGTTCATGGGTCAAAGCTCAACCACTGAGCCAGGCCGGAGGGCTCTTCCAAGTTTGTTCCTCACTTGGGTGCTCTCCCTCAGCTCTAGGGCGGTGTGCTTTAGAGTTCCCTTTTACTCCCACTTAGTTAGTTCCTCGGGAATCTATAATAATAAAAGCGTTACATGCTAATTAGACTGGATGTCCTTCCGGACGAAGCCAGGGCTGGGAGGGAAGCCCGGGTCCCGGGTCCCGGGTGCCTGAGGGAAGCTGGTGCTGGCAGCCGGGGGAAGGAAGGCCTACTCTTGCATGACTTTCATGCATCGGGCCTCTAGCAGTTAATAATTCTTTATGTTAAGCCGTCCTTGTTCGGGTTACCATGCCGTTTCTCTCTCCTGCTTGGACCCTGGCTGATACGGCATTGGCACTGGCCGTGGCCCCGGGGGACAGGCCCCGCAGGAAGGAATTTTAGACTTGGTTTTGGTTGTGTTCTTGGGCTCAGTACAGTGCCAGGTGCCAGCCAGTGGGAAGTCGGGTGTTTGTAATTCAGGACAAGAAGTGGCATCACAGTTTAATCACAGGGTAATTTTTGGTTGATTGCGATAGAAGTGCCAGCTGAACCAAGTACCTTGGGACCCAAAATGACTGCACAGGTGACCGTTATGGCAATAATGACGGCTCCAAGCACCGTGGGGCGGGGTGGCTTCTTAAAGAGAGAAAAGGACACTGAATCTGCTGGTTTGTTACCATTATGGACTCCTATAGCACGATTATTAGTAACACTTTTAAATTGCCTGATAGTGCCATTTGCAAATAGATCAACTTAAAAGGGGGAAGCATTAACACAAAATAAAAATAATTATAAAATTTGAAAGGAACCATCACACATATTTACTACGTGAATTTTTCACTCTTACAATGAAATTTTAAAGCACACAAAGTATCAGTTACATTATCTGCTCGCCTCCCCTTTGTTGGGTAACAAATACTCTAGACATAAATTTCTCTGTCTTGCGTTGATATTCACCAGATTGAAAGCGTGTATCCAAGAGCGTCTTTAAATTGGGCGTCAGTCATTGGCCGTTCGTCTGAGCTTGCTTTCTGTTTTAATGATGAAAATACTTTGTCTCCTGGCCCTGATTTTGGTGTTGCCTTTGAACTCCATGTTGCTTCTACTTCAGATTTTAGACCAGTTTCTGAATCGGATTGGCGTGTTCCACATCGATTTCTGCATCTTCTCTTTGCACATCTCCTGTTAGACTATTTGCAAAGCACGGGAACTTGTAGCTAATACTCAGACCCTGGAAAGTGCCGGGAACGCTGTGAGACAGTATTATACCATTCAGAATGCCTAATACGGCTAACGTCATTACCAGATTCACACGCCAAAACTGTCCGTTTAAGGACTCCTTTAGCCTTCAAAAGTTGTAGTATTTTGGGAATACTGCTCACAGAATTACATAGTGTACAAATGCACCTGATCTTAATAATATTGTATTTGCAAGGAAGACCAGCATTAGCAGGCGGGGCCTTGACCACACAGTGAATTTTGGGAACAGCTGCAGGGAAGACTGAGCAGGTGGTGACCACCGCTCCCCACACGCCTCTGTCCTGGCCCCTGGAAATGCCAACTTTAACCTTTATTCTGCTTTGCGGTGTTTCCTGCTCTTGGTTTCCATTGCTATCAGTAGATTCCTTCAAATCTGTAGCATCTCTGTGTCAAATTGTTAACCTTTAACTCTCACTGGAGAAATATGATACGTTTTTCTCATTTCCCCTATCAATTGTGATGGTTCCCCAAACTCACAGAATTGTACTGTTAGAATTAGTGAATTTTGTTGTAGGTAAATGATATCGGAATACAGCGACCGAAGGAGTTCCCACAATTCCATTCTTTTATACCATCAACAAGATGGAAGTTTATAAAAAGATACCCTTTATAATATCATAAAAATTTGAAATACTTAGAAATTAATCCTTAAAGAACTATAAAGATCTCTGTAAGGTAAAATTAAGGGACATTGAAGATCTAAATATATTGGCAGAGATTTCTTGCTTGTAGACGCAATATGGCAAAGATATCAGTCCTTCTCAAATTGATTAATAGATTCAATCTAACTCCATAAAAATCCCAACATTTTTAGCTTGTTTATTTGGTTCCAGAATTTAGATGGAAAAGGCTACGCATAGAAAAAAACAAGATTGGCCCTGGCCAGGTAGCTCAGTTGGTTAGAGCATCGTCCCAATATGCCAAGATTGCGGGTTCGATCTGTGGTCAGGGCTCATAAGAAGCAACCAATGAACGCATAGATAAGTGGAACAACAAAAACAAATGGATGTTTCTCTCCTCTCCCCACCCCCCCCCCTTTCTTAAAGAACAAAATCAATAGACTTGCTCTACTACATCCCAAGATTTATCATGAAACGTAATTACCCCATCCATGGTGCAGGAGTGGTCAGGAGGTGGGTGGGATGTGCAGGAGAGCCCGGTGATGGGTACCCAGTCTTGCACAGACAATTCTATGTAAGTTTCTGTGACAGAAGCCCTGTGGTGGATCGGAGGGGAAGTAATGGTCGTTTCAGTAAATCATGCTGAGTAGCCATTTGGTAAAAAAGGAAAGTAGACCACTACCTCTCGCCAGGTCCCCTAATTAAACCATCTTAGTGCATTGAAGTATTAGGCATGAAAGGCAAAGCTGTGATGCTTTTTAAAAAGCATACAGCCTCTCCCCCAGGGTCTTGGAAAAAATTTCTTCAAGACACCAAAAGCATTAGCTATAAAGGAAAGGATTGATAAGTTTAACGACATTAACATGAAAAAAACATCAGTCTTCAAAAGGTTATTCTTTCAAAGGTGAAAAAAAAACTAGAGTGGGGAAAGATACTCTCTGTTCTGCTACCACATTTGTTTCCGTGGTGCAAATAAGTTCCTATGTGATTGGTGAGGAGGTAGGAGAACGATGTCCATTCAATTGAGGCCATACTGGTTTGTATTCCATTTTCCTGAACAAGTTCATGTTTCGCGTCATCAAGTAGCAGCAAATAAACACCGAATATACAAACACAGCTGAATGACGTGGGCTGTGCAGGATGCTCATTCATCTCAGTTTGGCCTCTTTTCTCAATTGGAACATGTGCTTTATCTTAAAATTGCTCATTGCACATTTTGCCTTATCTTCATCGTTCAGTAGCCTCACCCCTCCCTCGTACCCCTTTCTGTCAATCTACCTTTTCTTTTCTTTAAAAAAGACAACAACCCATGAAGGCCCGGCTGGTGTGGCTCAGTGGCTGAGCATCGATCTGTGACTCAGGAGGTCACGATTCAATTCCCAGTCAGGTCACATGTCTGGGTTGTGGGTTCGATTCCCAGTGGGGGGCGTGCAGGAGGCAGCTGATCAATGATTTCTCTCTCATCATTGATGTTTCTATCCCCCCTCCCTCCCTCTCTGAAATCAATAAAAATACATTTTTTAAAAAACAAAATATTTTAATGGTTCTAGTTTTTATAATTAGGAATGTAACATGGCTCTTAAACTGTATTAATATTTTTCCTCTGAAATCAATAAAAATACATTTTTTTAAAAAACAAAATATTTTATTGATTCTAGTATTTATAATTAGGAATTTAACATGGCACTTAAACTGTATTAATATTTTTAATTAGGATTGTTATCGATTTGGGGGTGCTAGAATGTTGACATAGGTTTTGAGAGTTCAACCCGGACCCTATTTTCTCCAATCCCCATGGATAACAAAGGACGACAGTAGTTGTGTTTTGGGGGAGTCACAAGTTCTATGCGGATTTTCATCTGTGTGTTAGGGGGTTGTGCTCCTAACCCCCTCATTGTTCAAGGATCAACTGTACTTTAGCATGAATTCCTTAGCAGATAAAATTCAGTGCTCTGTTGCTGAATTTCATTGAACAGCTTACTTACTGCTTAATTTTTAAGAATTACTTGAGAATAATGGCTAAGAAGCAATGTGTAAATACCTACCTTTATTAAGCCTTAAGCCTTTTTATTCACCTAAAATAATTTCATAATTAATATTTGTCCAAGTTTTTAAAATAGAGTTCATTAAAAGACCTTAAATTTTTTTCTTTTAATTGTCCTTTATGTGTCTAGTAAGTAGAATGTTCGTTTCTTTTCTCTAAGGAAGAAAAAAAATACACGTTAGCTACCTAAAAATGAAGTCTGTCATTGGTGGATTGTTATGTGTTAAGGAATGATAACTGAGGTTTAAAAGAAGAATTAACTGTTCTGTCTTAGAAAGTTAAGCTTTCTCTGACACTAAAATTTTATAGTCTTTGTAGTTTTGAATTTTATGGCTACCTGTAGGTTTATTCAAGTTTATTGACTCATCCTACGTTATTTATTGTCCTGCGTTCACTTAGGAATCTTAACTTGCCTCAGATTTCCTGATCCTCATTCTAGTAGGTACAATATATTCAATGTTCTGTTTCTCCATGTGTTCTCTATAGGCTATATATTCTATTATTTACAATATTTTGTAAGTTTAAAAGCACTTCCAACCTATTTTTTTCTTGTTGTTTTTGTTTTTTTTTCCTTAGGCACCACAAGGGCCCCCAGAGATGGGGAAGTACCAGGGGTGGACTATAATTTCATTTCTGTTGAACAGTTCAAAGCACTGGAAGAGAGTGGAGCATTATTAGAAAGTGGAACGTATGATGGTATGTCCCCAAATATTGACAACAGTAACCCAGAAAACTATCTGAATGACTGGAATTATTTCAGAGGGAATTTGATCAGTAAAATACCATTTTACAAATAAGTTTATCTGTCGGTTTGGGGGAAATTTTTCTCTTAATTAGGGTAATTGCAATTTGCTAGTTAAAATGGGATTAAACAATAAACCAAAAGCATTTCATCACATTATGAATAATATACTAAAATTATTCAAATTAGCTAGTTTGTATATTTCATAGTAATTCATATTCATCATATGAGCTCAGCAAGTGTTGGTAGATTGCTTTCTATTTGTGATTGAGAATTCAAATACTGTAGACTTTAAAAAATATATTTATACTTTGGATTGCTTGGAGAAAAGAGAATATAGAATGGGGGGAGAAAAACAAAAACAGAGTATTTGGTTTTCTTTTCATATATCTCTCCTCTACCCACTTGATTCCAGGAAGTACAGATTTAAGATCAAGTTCAAATTTTATTGTTAATCCTCACTGAGGATATTTTCCCATTGGTTTTTAGAGAGAGTGGAAGGGAGGGGAGAGACAGTGGAGAGACACATCGATTGGTTGCCTTTGGTACATGCCCCGACCAGGGCCGGGGATCCATCGCCCCATCACCACCGCTAAAGTTGCAACAAACATCCTCGCACACATCTTCTCATAGGCCTGTGTGAGAATGTCTGTGGAATGTATACCCAGGGACAGAATTGCTGGGTTTGGTACCCATCTGGTATGTGCCCTTGAACAGAATCGAACCTGGGACCCTTTAGTCTGTGGACTGACGCTCTGTCCACTGAGCCAAACCACTAGGGCAATCAAGTTCACATTTTAAATGATTCTGGGTTAGGTCCTTTTTTTTCCTTATGGAACACTCTTCACTGGCAAGCTTGTCCACTCCCATAGCACCCTGTGCTGTTCCCCCACTGCTCCATCGTGCTGCCGTCATTGCCTTTTTCACCAGCTCAGGGAAGGCAGACATCACGTCTTTCTTACGCGATGTTACCTTCAGTGCCCAGAGGTGATGCTCAGTAAACATCTCACCTTGATTTCAACATATCCACGTGTGTCTGTGTTCTGTCCCAAAGAGGAATTCTTCATAATCTCTCCCTTTAGCTGCACCGTGAGTTTAAAACACTGGAGTCATCATTTACTTCCTTTTCCTCACGGTCCCCATCTCATCTGTTACCAAATGTAGTCATTTCTGCCCTTGCAGCAGCTTTCTCACTGCCTTTCTTCTCACTCCATCACCTCATGGCAGGCCCACTGGACTAGCTCCAGTCCAGGCTATTGAGTGGATATCATTTGTTTCAGTCTCTTCCCTCCATCCACTCCACCCTGCCTGTTGCTGACATGCCTCAAACACGGCTCTGTCACGTCTCTGTCCTCTTCAGGATCTCCGGGGATTTCTTGGGCCTGCAGACTTTGGCCCAACTACCCTTTCTGGACTTACCTCCAACAGATTCATTACACTCATTCATTTGATCCTTTTTTTATTCATTCAACCCATTTTTTAACTACTTCTGTGTGCCAAGCATTATCAGAGGGACTGGTGACACTGTGATGAGCAGTACTGAAGTGATACTGCCTTAATAAATCCGTATCTTACTGGGGAAGGCAGTCACAACAAACAAAATAACTGTACATTAAGATGTTATGAAGGAAACAAGAGCATGGATTTAAATAAAATCATAGGAATGTCTTCTTTAGTTAAGGTAGCCAGTGAAGACTTCTCAGAGGAAATGGCAGCTACTTATTTTTTATTTTCTACAAATGGCCTGCTCTCCTTCAC